CGCCCATGTAAAATACCGCTAGGTTAAATATCTATTTCAGGACCAATTCATCACCAAATTTGAATCTGAGACGTAGAATTTCTTCACCACATTGACTGTGAGATCTATCATTCTACGTCTCAATTTGCTGAAATTTTGAGTAATGAATACTTCGAAGTATGAAATAGAAGTCAGAAAATTTTTGTGAAAAGTTGGTATTAATAGTTTATAGATGACGCGCACCATAAGTACTACTACCTCTGTCCCGGTTTTATTGCTCCAAACGGCATTTTTGAGAAACGAACACAATGTTTTCTGAGAAGTATAGAGTGTGCGGTATGTTTCAAAAGAGCAGAACTCTGCGAATTCAATTGAAATCAAATTGAGTTCAAATACATCCAATCAAATACGAGAGAGCAATCAGAAGACTCCATACTGTGGCTCATATAATTGAAATAACCACGCTCAATAAAAACAAAGTACGGATAAAAAAAACGACATCCGTACATACAAGCCTCAAATAGTATTTTCACCGTAATTTCGCGAATATTACTCCAATTTTGATGCAATAAGGCTCAAAATCAGCGCATTGGTTGGCGCTATCGATTGGCGCCGATTTCAGGCCAAAACGACAAAATTGTAGTACTATTATGGTATTAATAACTGCTCACGAAGCATGGTTGACATTGTGGACAATACGGAGCGTGTGTGGAGCGATGTTGACCCGGCCACGTTGAATGCCAACTTTTTGACGTTGCAAGGATGCATGATGGAAGTGATTCGTTGCGCGAGTGGCAACAATTTCAACATACCACACATGAAGAAGGCCGTGCTCACTGCGAAAGGTCGCTTGCCCTTGTCGATTGAAGCGGATGCTGACGTTGTCAACGCCAGTAGGGAATTGCTAAGTGAGTGTGACATGTCTACAGTCATCTTAGAATTGGCGAGCGAAGTGGCGAAGAACTTGGAAATGAGCGATGTCTGCACGGAGCTTGAGCGTCTGGATGTCGTGGAAGATTCCGATGATGAAGAATTTGACATACCATCGGTACTTGGATTAAACATTTGAAATAAATGTACTTGATTTTTGTATGCGAAATATAGTGTTTTTTTCTTCAATCTACTGTTGCACGTTTGGAGCAATTAAAATGGAACTTCAAGAATCTCGTTTGGAGCAATAAAACCGGGACAGAGGTAGTACTACGTATTAATAACAGTACCGTTATTAACACTGTAAAATAACGCTACTACTATACTAATACCACTACAATTTCCGGAAATCGATGAGACTCCGGATAATCTATTGCGCCACCTGCCGCTGAGGCCACCATGGGGTTCCGAGGTATCTTCCTTCACCGTTGCCCGGGCACTGAGGAAGGGAGTGCGGCGAAATTTACAGTGCTTTGCACGGAAGCTGAGCTGTGTCTGCTGGTGGAGAGGCACGAAGCGTCGGACATCGATCCTTCGGGGGTGGTGGACACGAAGGTGTTGGTCAAGAACTCGTCGACCACCGACCTGCTCTTCGTCGCACGCATGGCAGATGTGACGATGGAGGTGGGGTCCATGTTCTGGGTTGACGGCACGACCGTGTATTGCTTCCGTTTCTCGTCAGACAACAGCTTCGCCGAGGTCCAGCGGGCCGTGCACGCGTTGCGGCGGACCGAACAGTTGGCACTCATGCGAAGCGTGCTGTCGTTCCACCCACTAGGCAATACCGCTAACGATGGCAAGGACAAAGGAGCCAAGTGGAAGCACTACTCTGAATGTGCCAACTTGGACTCGTCCCAGGGGGCAGAGGTTCGACCAACACCTTCAGGACCATCCATGCTTGGCCTTCACGTCGGTTCTAGGAGTTGCCCGTGGACAACAACCATGTCGTGGCCATACCAAAGCCGTCCAAGCCGCGCAAGCTAGTCGTCGACAAGGTCCTGCCTCCGTCGTCGTCGAAAAAGAAGGCCAAACCAATGCCACCAGCTCACGCTCCAGCCAAATTAGCCGAACTCGATCAAGGCCCACCGCCTTTGAAACGCTCAAAATCCACCAACGACACCACCGCCTTGGATGACAAGCGCCGAATTGCAGAGGTCAAGGCGTTCAATCGGCAATGGCTCATCACGATCGGAGCGAGAAATCCATCCAGGTATTGTCTATCGAGTTTATGGACTGAATTTTATATATCAAAAACGATGTCCATCAATCACACTAATTTCATTCTCACACTGATTCGTAGTGGATTGGTTGACCTGATACAATGTGATTGGGTACATATTTCTGCCTCGTTTGAAATACTCACCACAATGTTGTCCATAATCTGGAGTTTTGTGCTGAATGTGCTGAATCGCCAAATCCATCGATCGATTGTTTGTACTGAGTTTTGTATGTGAAGAGTATCCCGTTTCTCACGAATTTCATTCACACACTATAATAGTGTTGAAGGGACAGTTTGATTGGCGAATTGATTTGTGTTGTGGGATTTGATTGGTCGATCGATCGATTGTCTGCTTAATTTGAATCCGATGCATTCACTAACTCTACTACGCCACAACAGATGCATATATTGTCTTTTTACCCACTATTTGGACTTTTGTGTTGATTCACCAAATATATCAATCGATTTGTTGTACTGACTTTTGTAAAGATCGTCCAGTATCACACTAATTTCAATCACACACTAATTCGATGTTGAATCGGTTGAAGAGTGGATTTGATTGGCCACTTGATTCGTGTTGTGGTTTTCGATTGGTCGATCGATTTGGTGCTGCTGCTCCCACTCGAATTTCGAATCGACTTGACAATATATGTATGCTGTCTCTCGACTTGCTCACACTTTGATAATCTGTCATTGTAGCGGCCCCAGTTGTCACCTCTGCCATAGACGGTATGCCGGCTGGACAAACAATCTCCACACAATTGTGACTTTATTCGACTCGTTTGTGTGTGTGCTTAGCCAAGGCAAGATGTTTCAGTGTCCAAATGGTGTGCTGGACCACATCTATTGCGGCCGCTGTTTGCATTACAAGTTCAACGAGAACCTGAATGACTTTATGGACCGAGGGCTGCAGTACAGCTGTCGGCTGTGCGCCGGCACCTGCGACTGCTCCGTGTGCAGTGGCCGTGCCACGTCATTCGCCCGTCGACATCCGTCGATTCCATCCAACGCGTGCCTCGTCTGCGGCACGACATCGTCGCAATTGACATCGCACCCGCATCTCCCTCCTGTACGTACATTTTGAACACAAAGTCGTGTAGAGACCACCCCCCCCGTCCAATCGAATTTCGCTCGGAACCTCGCCGCGACATTTGATTGGTTCATCCGAAATATATCTTGGCGCGGATTGGCTCAAATAATATTCTTTCTATTTTCCATATCTTTTCTGCGGATTATTCGTTGGTAGCCAATCAACTGTCGCGGCGAGGATATGCGAACGTGTTTTGGACATTTGAACGAAATACACACACCATCATACACACAAGTGGAAAAGATTTTTTATTGTGCTTTCGAGTGAAATTTCGTGTTGTAGCGTGGTTTCTCGTTGGAATTTAAATCGATTTGATTGGCTACCTCAGATGAGCTCAACATTATTAACCAATCAAAACGTTCTCAATGAAATTCAACCAATCAAATCGATTGTGGATCGGTTTGGTCGGAGCAATTCGATTGCACCCCCTCCCCAAATTTGTATCAAATCGACTTCTTGTGTTTTATATATTTTGATCCAGTGGATTCACAGTGTTGGTATATATTGTCGCAGGCCCAGCTATGTGCGATTTGTGTCGACTCTGTGGCCAAAATGCCTGGGACTGGCTGCCTCGTCTGCGGCTCCAGTGACGAGAACGACCCCATCCGTCCATGTGCCCACTGTAACAAGGCGTGTTGTGTGGCGTGTGTATTGAAGCTGGGCACCGGCGGGTGTCCATTTTGTATTGCCCCAACAAGGTATACACGTTGCCAATGTCTTCTTCTGTTAGCTTTCCGTGTTATGTTTGAATCCTTCACATATGTATGTGCCAGCTCGGAGGCTTTGTCCTTGCCGACAAGCGTCGAGTTAGAAGTACCGTCGTGGCCACCCGTGGACCCCCAAGACAGCCTCACGTACTTTACATCGTACGCACAAGCGGTGATACATCGGGAAACCCGCCGCACGCCGCCGAAACTGTCGGAAGACTCGTGCTTTTGCTGCAAAGACGGCGGCGACTTGATCGAATGTGACTTCAAAGCCAAGATCAAGTGCCCCAAAGTCTACCACGTTGGTACGTTCGATACTTACCTTGTCTTGGAGCCAAAATTTACATTTTTCGTTTGCATACCCCAACTCAATTGATCGATCGTTACTTTTTATCCTGAATTTCGGTTGTAAAAATCGACCAGGGACATATTACGAAATAAATCACACACGACGAAAATGAATGGTGTTGAAGCGAGATTTGGATTCGCCACTTGATTACGGTTTAGGATTTTGATGGGTCGATCGATTGTCCTTGTAAAGTTTCAGCTACATTGTGCTTTCGAGTGAAATTTCATTGTGGCGTGGTTTCTCGTTGGAATTTAAATAGATTTGATTGGCTACTTCAGTTGAGCTCAAAATTATTAACCAATCAAAACCTTCTCAATGAAATTCAACCAATCAAATCGATTGTGGATCAGTTTGGTCGGCGCGATTCGATTGCCCCCCCTCCCCAAATTTGTATCAAATCGACAATACTTGTACCGCCTTTTTTAATAACATTTTAATAAAAATATGTTGGATAAAATATGTTTCAAACGGCCAAACCCGCGAATTATTAAAAATAATATTGTTGGTTTAGCAAATCAATTTATATTATAAAGATATTGATATATTTAAAATAGAAACTGAATGGTTATTTCCATGTTCCCATTGATCCGTTGTACTTTTGACCAAGTTGCCTTTAATATATTTCTCTTTCGTTCGATTGTTCGAGCTTTGAACACCCTACTCCAAATTCGAACCAAAGTCACAATACACATATATATGACGGTATAGATTGCCTCGGGTTTGATGTGCCAGACGATGTCACATGGATCTGCCCCCGCCACTATTGCGCGTTCCCAAAATGCACTCAAGTGTCCAAGTACTCGTGCCGCTTTTGTCCGGCTGCGCATTGTGAGGTAGGCCCTAAACTAGAACGACTCTGTTGAAAAAGTCTTCAATCAACTGGATGCTACCATAATGTATTGTCCATTGACCCAAATTTTGGACTTTGGAACCATGTCAATGGGTATCGAAATATTGTCCAGTTGTGATGTCCGTCACACTAATCGAAGTCACACACACTAATTCATTGTGCATTGGTTGGTACTGATGCATTCCTGCAATCTCGTTGGCTAAATACTTCGACCGATTCATCTGCACAGCGCGATATATATATATACATGCACCAATTTGGCGTAAACCCAGCAATCCATTGTGTGTATGTATTATATCGGTATTGTCCTTTTACCCTAAATTTGGACTCTTAGTGCTGATTCTTTGCCACAAGTATCGATCGATTCTTTGTGCTGCCTTTTGGAACCATCGTCCACACATATACTATTTACATTCACACACTAATTCAATGTTGAATTGGTCGAAAAGTGGATGATTTGATTGGCTACGTGATTTGCAATCTGGTTTTTGATTGGTCGTATATCGATTGTCGGTCTATTGGTGCTGCTCGTTTGATTGAATCGACTTGTGGTTAAAATATGGACACGTGGCAGGGAGCTTTAAAACATTTTGCACTCATGGTATACAAACATGAAGATGAACCAACTCGACGAATCGACGATTGGTTGAAATTATTATGTATTTCGTGCACTTTGATTGGCTAGAACACATTCTCAACTCCATTCGATATGCAATGTATACTAACTAGTATTCGGCAGTCCAACCAAATGGCCCGGATTCGAATAATGCACTAACCAATATGTGTTATATAGAAACACTTGCCGGCGTCGTCGGTGCTGCTGTTTCCGACCCCGCCCGACACCCATCCGTCCACGTCATACGTGTTGTGTGAGTCCTGCGACGTCCAGATCGTGCAGGCGGTCCACCGCCGCCTCCTGCCGCCCATGCTGCACGCCACGCCCGTGAAAACCCACGTGTAATAACAGACGACAGTCGTGTTGATTTTTTATTTTTTGTGTTTTTTTCGCTTCTTTTTTTTGCCCTCGGGCGACAAACTGTCCGCGTTGCCGTTGTTGCTTTGGTCAGGCGAGTGCGGGGGCTGGTCGACGTCCTCGTCTTCGTCGGCACTGATATCACGGACGATCACCGATGCATTACTGGGCGGATGCGACGACGTGGCTTTTTTTTTGGCCGATTTTTTTTTCTTCTTTTTTTTCTCCCCCGACGACGTCTCGGGCACTTCGTACTCTTCGTCGTCGACAAACCCAAGCTTCCACGCAAATTCAGACCCAAGTTCGATGCTGTGGCGACCTAGTTACTCGTACATAGGAGTATGATTAGTTTAGTAGTACGACTAGTAGGACTAGTACCGTCGTCGTCGTCGTTGTCGTCGCCCGAGGTCGGGGTAGTAGTAGTACTAGTATGACTAGTCGAATCGATTGGGGGGGGCGACATCATGCGCATCATGTTGGTGGGCACGGGGATTCCGAGCCCTTTGACCACCGACGCCTGGGTCGTCGCGCACAATTGGCTTTCGAACGACCGCCACGTGGCATGCGACTGCAGGAACGACCGCAAGAACGCGTCGGGCGGCAACGTCGCGGCTTGCAACCTACGTGTTTCAAACACGTTTTAAACAAGTTTCAAACACCACGTTTCAAACCAACACACACACACAGAATGCCTTATTTTCAAATCGAGTGAAAAGATCTGGACAGGATGGATTAAAACATCGTTTAAGCCAATCAAATCACGTCATGTCGATCGAGTTTCTGCCAATCATATTTCATGCGGCATTGGGCTATATATGTACTACTACTAATCTTTGTATAGTATAGTATGTACAAGCTTAGATTAGACCAACTGGATCACTCAAGTCCAAATTTGGGTGAAAGGCACAATAACACTAACACAAAAACCCCGTCGGTTCACTGATAATCACAAACAACAAGACCAACCTCCCAATCAGCCACACATTTACATAAATACATCCATACATATACACCTATCAACCAACCAATAGAAGACCCCCCCCATCACCCGATTCCATCCCCCAACCCCCCCAAAACAAGTCTAGGTTCTTATAGAGATATATATATATATATAAATATATATTGTCAAGTCGATTCGAAATTGGAGTGGCGTGGTCAATCGAATGAGCAGACTTTCCAAATCGGTATACAATCGATATATCGACCAATCAAAACCCAAAACACGAACATCAAGTGGCCAATCAAATCCACTCTTGGACCAATGATGCAACATCGAACTAGTGTGTGCCTTCAATTAGTGTGACGATGTTATACAAAGAATCGATCGATAGATTTTTGGCGAATAAGCACAAACGTCTAGTAAAAGGACAATATATATATGTACCGAATCGCGTTGCATGCTTGGAGGATGTAGCCTCGGGAGGACGCAGTCGGGTCTTTGCGGTACACGTCGATCAAGGTCGTGACGAGCTTGGCGTGTTGGAGAAGCGGCTTGAGCACAACCGAGTCATTCGTACGCAGCGCAAGAAACACAAGGCGGTAGAACGCATGATGGTACAGGTTAGTGTGGGGGTACTGGACAAACCACGCGACCAGGATGCGCCACACATCGACGGAAAAGAACATGGCCAAGTGGGCGGCGTCGTGCTCCACCAATGCCACAAGCATTTGCACTAGGAGCAGGCGAAACTCGGTGAACGGATGTGACACTGTGTACGCCGTGTGCCGGACGCCGTGGTCGCAACCAGCTACATGTTGCTGTTGTTGCTGCGAGGTAAATTGCTTTTGGAGGTACGTTAAAATCTCGGGCAAGTGCGCTTGTACACGGCCAAACACAAACGATTTGGCCACGTGCAGCTGGTTGGGAACGAGGTTGACGACGGTGGACCCGAATGACTGGTACGGGGACGTGGGGGGACCCACGACTTGATCCTGCGCGGCCTTTTCCAGCAACCCCAAGAGGCATCTACGACGTATATCATCATATCGAACGTCATAGCATGGACAAAATGGATAGACTGGTGGGCAGACTAGGGGGGGCGTACCGTATCGCAGCGGTGCGGCGGCCGCACGGGGGCGCCAGGTACGACGCAGGCGACTTGCCCCCCTCGGGGGTTAGCGCCGTCGTGACGAGGCTCTCGAGCAGCTGGGTTGAATGGGACAGTGGCTCCAGCACGATCGCGCCAAAGTCGTCGGCCGCCAATCGATCCAGCAGTTCCAGGAGGACGTCCGCGGCGGCGATCGCGTGCACTTCGTCGTACTGGGTGTCGCAAATGTGATGTGCGATGAGCAGGATGATCTTGATGTCGGCCAAAGCTTTGTAAAACATGACTTTGGTCGCGGGGGGCGACAAGTACACGCGGAGAAGCGCCGCGTTGTGCGGTTTGCAGATCATGGTCAGAAACAGCTCCGACACGTGCGGGTGCTCGATGTGCTCGAGCAGGCTCTGCATATATCGACCGCACGTTCGCCCGTTCGCGCCCACGACTTGCTGCACGTCGTTCAGGTGGGATCGGGTCAGCTTGTCCAGGATCTTGCACCCGTGGCGGAGGTTCCCGGATGAGTTGGCTTGGAAGATCGGAAACAGACACTTGGTCATGAGACGTGCCTTGGACTGGAGGAGAAGCAGAACCGCGTCTGACGTGTCTTCGCCGGCCATGAGCATGGTGGCGCGGTAGCTGCGCTTCAACGCGTCGGTCACGTCCGTGTCGTCCCGAGGCACCCTTGGGCCTTTCATGTGCGAATGCGACGGACCGTCCAGGAGAAACGACTCGATGTCGTCGTCCAGTGACGGTTCCAGCAACGTGATGAAGCTCAGAAATGCGGCGCAATGCTCGTCTTCGTTTAGGAAATGGATCATCGGTACGGTCCACCCAGGGGAGTCCAAGCACAGACGGCGCTTCACCATGTCCAGAACATACTCCTTAGTTGGCTTGTGCGGCGACGACGGGGGTTCGACCTCGTCGGGCTCAAATGGCGCTTCCATTGCTGCCAACGCTTCAGTGAGGTGACTCCTCATTCCAGCAACACCCCAGTTTTCTCGACAGCTGGACGCGAATCCATGAAAACGGCACACTTATCTATCACTCCCCCTACATATAAACTCAGGATTTCAGTCACTTTGGCTTCTTCTTTGCAGAGGGTCCGACGCATAAGTAAATTACCAACGCAACGTCTCCGTCGTTATTTGTAGTCAAGCCAGTCAACCATCTTATTGGTTAAAATACAATGAGATCGTATTGGCTCGTTGGCCTTTCATCGACCAATCGCGTCCGAGGAATTGGTTTAACGTATACGTTTTACTAAACCTTGGACCGTTTCGTCGAAATCCCTGCAGCACTTGATATGCGTTATTTACGTTAAACTCGGCCATTGAGCTCTGTGTGATTGGTCAGCTTCATCCAGTGCGTTTGGTTGGTTCGCATTTTGGGTGGTGGAGTTCGTGCTGATAATGGAGGCAACCATTGTGCATTTTTCCATCCATCATGCCTGCCAAGAAGGTCACCAAGGGCTCTGCCCAAGCCGCTCCCGTGAAGACCGCCGCCAAGGCCGGTGCCAAGCCCACCGGCTCCACCGCTTCCAAGAAGAAGGGTGCTGATCCGTTGTACCCTTCGGCTCCCCGCAACTTCCGTTTGGGAGGTGACATCCAGGTATCATGAGCCTCCCCCCGCCGTGCCTCCCTTGTCGTTCGTTGAGCTTCGCCATCGACCTTGTCGTCTTTGCAAGCTCTTCGTTTGATGTTAGCGGGTTTCCACAAACCGCAATGACATAAATGATCTGTGGTGTCGTTGGTCCAGGATGTATGTATCTATATTACTACTCCCTGGACTGCGCACTATGGTAACTTTACTCGGCACCTATTCCTCCTTCTCCATGCTTCTCTAAGACGTCCTCACCGTGGTGGCTTTGGCATATATGTAGCCCAAGCGCGACCTGTCCCGCTTCGTCCGCTGGCCCAAGAACGTGCGTCTCCAACGCCAAGCCAAGATCTTGCAGACGCGCCTCAAGGTGCCTCCGTCCGTGAACCAGTTCACCAACACGTTGGACAAGAACCACGCGTCCGACTTGTTGAAGTTGTTGCTCAAGTACCAACCGGAAACCAAGGCCGCCAAGAACCAGCGCCTCAAGGACATCGCCGCCGGCAAGGAGCAAGCGGCGACGCCCCCCGCTGTGATCAAGTACGGCTTGAACCACGTCACATCCTTGATCGAAAACAAGAAGGCCAAGCTCGTCGTGATCGCCCATGACGTGTCTCCGTTGGAATTGGTCGTGTTCCTCCCAGCCTTGTGCCGCAAGATGGACATCCCGTACGTCATCTTCAAGGGCAAGGCTCGCCTCGGCCAACTCGTCCACAAGAAGAACTCGGCCGTCGTCGCGTTGACCCAAGTCAACAAGGAAGACAAGGCCAAGTTTGACTCGTTGAACACTGCGTTCCGCGCGCAATTCAACGACGAATCCACCCACCGCCGCAAGTGGGGCGGAGGCATCATGGGCTTGAAGACCCAGAAGAAGTTGGAACTTCGCGCCAAGGCCATCGCGGCCGAAGCCGCCAAGAAGGCCCAATACTAAGTTGGGTTGCCAGCTTGCACACTATCTAGGGACTACCGATGGAAAAATGTTAAAACACGCTAATGAACGTCGTCCGCGTTGTTAGCAAACCAACACTCTTAATTTAGGATGTATGTAATATTGTGGTGTTGTTTTGTAAACGTGTTGATGGCATATAATAATACCAATTGGAAGGTTGGGTTGATCAATGGGGTGAGTAAATATGATATGACACGTCAATATAATTAACCGTTGTGATATTATACTAAGTTATTAATAGTATTATTAATACCTGGTAATGCCAAGAGGACTATGTACTATTAATATAATAATACCAGTACAGTAGTCGAGAGGAGGAATGTTCAAAAGTCAAAAGTATATCGGTAGTCGGTCACGTTACTTGACTTGGTTTACAAGTCGGAGACTCGGAATACACCCCAGGTTACTCCTAAGATGCAATTGTACTTAACGTTAACAGCGTTAACACTACACTAACGTTACTGTAAGCTTACATAGAAAGGTTACTGGTAGTAAGTTGAAAGGTAATTTTGCAAAATCTCTCTCGTAAGCTCGCCATACCAAGGTAACCTCGACGGCAGTCAACCGGGCATTCGGGCTTCGGGGTCCCCAGTAGAATATTGTTTGGTTGTATGCTGCTCACTTTTCAATTTGTCGGCGATAACGAACTGCGCCACAGCACCTTCGCCACCTTGACTCTCCCCCGGTGAGCGGATCGCACGGGAGTGCGATTCTATTCCCAGGGGGAGGGGGCCAGGAAGAGGAACATGATGAGTCACCAAGACCTGGTACAGTAGGCGCGATCTGCAAGGGAGAAATCCAACTGGAAGGACTCCAGTCTGAGTCTACCTCGAAGGGAAGTTACTTCGAAAGTCCGTGACCTATTCGTTACGACTTCCAATGCCCCAGGGCAGAACCGACGTCGTGAAGTGTCACATCAACACCAGCATCGCAACAAACGTTCACCCTGTGCCAATTCGTAACGGTTTGATTCGACTGGGCATGAAACCGCCGTAACTGCCATCCACCAAATGTACCAAGGCGGCGACAGCGTCGAGTTATTGGCGGCGGGGGGGAAAGACCCGGCCGCGCCTTGGAAACTCACGGGAAAAGTGCGTCGCGAGTACGACAAGCCGAGCAAAGTGTTTTTGTTCACCATGGAAGGGTCGGCTTTAGCGACGAAAATGACTTTGCCCAAGGACTCGACCAAGTCCTGTACGACCCCACACTCTACGAGTTCAAGTGTTCAACATGACATTGGGTGTGTTGACTGTGTACATAGTGGGGCTTACGCAGCGATACCTGGTGCTGCAAGTGTCCATCCCGGCCGCGGCGGCCATCTCGGTGGAGGTGGGCGTGCTCGACACGAACGGCACACGGCGCCGCGTCGTCATGTCGTCTGCGTTCCGTGGGGCTGTTGTGCACCAACTGCATGCCCAAGTAAGGAAGGCTGCACTCATCCCGTGTTGTTTTCCCCATACATACCGAAACGTTGTACCTTGACGTATAGATTCCCCTCAACCAAGTGACGCGAGACGTGTGGTTGAATTGGTGTTTTGACGTGGCAGCGCTGGTGGACGCATCATTTGCGACAACATTTCGAACTATCGACTCGATTTGCCTCAGCGGGACGTGCAAACTCCGTCGGGTGTTTACGATGAAAGAGCCGCCGATTCCGTCCGACCATCCGTTTGGTACAACTATATACAATGTCTGACTTGTATACCACTGAAATGCATAGATTTCGTCGGGGGCGTGGACATTCCACGTACATTTTTCATCTCTGGGGCTGTCACCGAATATTTTGCCGCCAAAGCCGTGGCGGTACCATTAACCAAGCCAGAGGGCAAACCAAGGGCAGCACCAGGTACTAAGTACCTTGTCGAAGTTTGGGGGGAATAACAATAACAACGTAACGTGATGGAAACTTATCGTTGGCTAGACAACGCCACCTCTCGTGACAAACCCAAGGCGACCCCTAGACCGTCGTCCAGTACCAAAGCTGGAGGGGCGACTTTGGGAAATAAACCCAGTTTGGCAGGTCCGCGAAAGCACCCGTCAACATCATCTTTATCGCGAAGCAAGTCGAGTCGCGGGGGTAAGCTTGTTGCGATTGACGACGAAGTAGCCAAGCCCGTTAGCCCTCTATTGCGTCCGGGGTCGTCCCATAGCAAGCACATTCAAGCCCGTAAGCAAATCACTCTGCCGTCCTCGTCAATGTTTCGGTTTGCCTTTACGGAGCGTCCTTCTGCCACGGAGACGCCCACGGTGGTGACTCGGCCCAACACCGGGCAACGCCAGTTGGAGTCCAAGTTTCAATCGTGGGAAGACGACGACGCTAGTCCTGTCAAGCCTTCGCCGCTACATGCTGTGTTGAATGTAGCAGTTTCGAATTCCAACACCAATCACGTGAACACAAACGACGAGCTGCCGAATGAGACATTAAGCCGACGAATCGAATACACGGCCAACGAGTTGGCCAAAGAGCTATCCCTGGACGAGTCGCCCTTCTTTCGCGAGGCGGGATCCCCTGCCGAGGTACGAACCCCCTGTAGAGATGACGTATCCATGTGAAGATTTCACGGGATCTTGTAGGCAAGCAAGGGATCTTTGGGGGGGAAACCATCTTGGTGGGACGACGACAACAATGACGACCGACCACAGATTTCCTCAGATGTCGATCAACCATCGACAAACAGCCAACCCCAGGACAATCAACATGATTCAAATGCAGTGTCAATCGGAGCACCTGCGTTGGTCAACCAGTCATCTTCGGAGGAGTCTGGGTTGACAAATTCGAGTCATCCCCCCAGTTTGTTTCAATGGGCACCGCAGTGTCCACTGAACAACCCAAATGACCCTTCGCGGACGACAGCAGCAGCTTCACTGGAATGTTCAACTATACACCCTCCCCCAAAGGGCGACAAACATCACCAGAAGTGCAATATGACGAGTGACAACGAGGAGCCGCAGATTCCTGACAGGTCTCAGAACACCCCCATTTTCCACCAACGACACGTTGGAGGTGACAACCCTCCAAAGTCCGTGGACGATCGATTTTTGAATGAACAAGTAAAACGTGTGGTGCACGATGAAGACTGACTAATCCATGGATGTAGAATCGCTTGGATGATAACGACGATCTCGACTTTGACATGTACGCACCAAAACTGCAACTTCGGTAGATATATAACGGTGTGGGCTAAACTTAGGACAAACGACTTGCAAGCCGACCAGAGCTTTGACTTTACAGACGTGTTGGAGGAATCGTTGCCGAGCATGGTACAGATACACTCGCCAGTGAAACGACCCCCCGTAAGCCAAGTCCACCACGCGCCCGCGTTGGTTCCGTACGTTCCCTTGATTCCGTTGTGAGATATGATATATATCATCCATCTGACTAGGACTGCGCGGTCGATTGTCGTCGATCCACGGATCCAAAGTCTGCTCGGTATGTCTTAGTGTGTCATGTTTTACGCTAGTTCTTGATCACTTATCGGGTTGTTGTCGTGGTAGAGTCCACGGGTATGTACACGTATAAGTGTTGGAGCAAAAGTGCAAAGTAGAATGCATGGTCGTAGATTGGAGCCAACCGCCCGCGATGGACTTGGTGTACGATCCGATTTTGGATTGTTACCATGACCCGCAAAGCAACAAGTATTATCAATTGAAGTAAACACCGAGTAGTTAACATCAACACCCACAACAAGTCCAGCTTACATCTTTGTTTTTGGTACACCTTTTTCTCCAGCAGTTGGTTTCCTACGGTCGAGGCGACGACTTGTCTTGGAAAGTACTGTATATAACTGCGATGGATAGACGCATTCACATAGTGCGAGTCCTACAACCTGACATGGCAGTTTTACATCTTTTGGCCGTTCCTGGTCCCCGTCGTGGCCCTCCTGCCGTTTCGACGACGCGCCTTACTACAAGTTACCCCCCTGCGCCAAGTTGCCGTCCTCCCTGTATCACGGTTCCAACACATACTCGTTTTAATCCCCCCTGTGTCGTTTGGCAAATATCCAATCGGGGGGGGCTACCTCCACGCTCAAGGCATTTCCACGACGATCCAACACGTTGTCGTGCTCTGCGTTACAGCTGGGGTTTTGCCTCATCGAAAAGGCCAGCGTATTCCCTGCCTTTGGGCCATCCTATCTTCTCTCGGTGCGGCTCCATTGATTTCGGGCGAAGCTCGAAATCAATGGTCGCTGCTGGTGGTGTATGTGGGCAAGATCAGCTACGCGTTGCACGACCGCTGCTCGAGTAATCTTTCCCAACGATCGACCGTTTACATGCAGCCATACTAATTGATGATGGCGTGCAGCATCAACTTTGTCGCGTTTGAGAACTGCATTCGCCGAGTCCAAGTGGATGATGCCATATTTTCTGTTCTAGGGTGTCGGCGCTGCCGTTTAGCGTCCAACAGTGTAATCAATCGTTCCCCCGACTCACTTAAGTACAGCAGATGGACGCTCCTCACGACTTAATGACTGGCTACACACTGTCCCATGGAGCCATTATTGTGTCCAACGCTGGAAGTGCTGGATACCCCCCCCACACCCAGTGCTTACTTAATCCAGACCACGAAGCCAAGAGATTCGTGATTATGCTGGGCGATTCCTAAGGCGATTGACGAAGCCTCGAATTTTAAAACTGTTCAACACGCCACTAAGGCCAACCAACCGTTTACTACGGTGGTGTTCAAGACGGATTACGGATAGATGTCATGTCAGGACGCCACGTCATCTGGCTCTGCCATTGCCAAAGCAAGTGGCCATCTACAACTTCCACGGCTGCAGCACCTTGGTCCTGAGGATTCCCCTCACCTGACGCCAATTTCCCCTCTGCCGACCCCTGTCCGAGACAAACCCAAGCCAACGCCTACGAGTTGTTGCGCCGATGGCACCGATATCAAGCCTGTTGTCCCTCATGCATAGAAGCCAACGTGACCCCGTTGAATTTGTCCGACAATATGTGCTGGGAGGCTACCTGTCAAGTCGAAGTGAATGGCCACGCGAGTCAGAGTACGGCAACCACATTAGAGTGTACACGGCCCGCAACTACCTGAGTATCGTGGACCAAGTCGTCACGACGGCGACCCTCCCCAGAAAAGCTAATTCGGGTGTGCCGTCATTCTCACGATGAAGTTTACTGTAGTTTTGATAACTAACGTTAACGTCAATTTGATCCACCAATATAAACTAACCACGAAAGCTGCGACGACTGTGTGGGACTTCGTTCTAACCTCACTGTAATACTGTGAAATCTATTTGGCCCCAAGCTATAGATTTTCAGTCAGTACTACCGGGTACTATATAGTAAAATTCGAATCCCAATCCATTGTAGAAGCAGTCAACAAAATTAGGAACAAAAGTGTCCTTGACGTCTTCATTCGTTTCATTCGAATATGGAAGTGCTCACCTTTCTGAACGATTGGCTGCTCGGGTAACGCATACTTGACTAACTTCCACCATACGCGAGTAAAACAGTGGAATTGCACACTTTTCACATGCCATTGTCTGTGAGCGCACACGTCTCAGCGACATCTCGCTGTCTCGTTTGTGTTGCACGAGCTCAATTACCAACATGGAAGTAGTTTTTGCTGACCCAAGTCGCACGAATACATCGTACATAAGTTACTATTCCCGAAACCGACACCCAAGGGGCGTGGTCCAATTAGCGGTGCCGAGGGAATCGAAATCTCGACGGTTTCACTTTGGTCGGATCTTCTATCTTTCTCCATGGACATAACTGAATGCCGCAGACACCGGCATTCGTCGATTCGACCCACTTGGCCAGCAGCATGCAGTGGCACCCGCAACATCACCACTCGCAGTCTTCATCGGACCCGTCTTGTTGCAAGCTACCGGTACACCACCCACCTGCCCGCGCCGCGGATGACGCCGTCGATCTCGAAGACATGGCCCGCCGCATCGATATCCGCCGCGCCACGAGCATGCGGGACCTGCGGGTGCGGACGTTCGCCACGGAGCGCAGCGCATTTGGCTTTGCCAAGTTGTACGAAGTCGAGATCGAGAACGCGTGCAACTACAACACGCTGCACTGGAAACTGAGCGTGTGGTTTGGGGACTTTCGCGCGTTCTACAGCCGCGTCAAGCGGATCAAAGCGCCGTCATTGAAAGCGTTTCGAAAGCAAGCCAGCGGCATCATGCTACGTGGCCTCTTTGGCGACAAGGCGCTGTGCATCACACGCTTCCTACGGCTTCTGTTTCTCACGCTGGGCGACGTGGCACCGACGCTATCCGTGTCGGAAGCGGCGCGCACACTGCTTCATCTTACCGACGACTTTTGCCAAATGGAATACCCCCACGACCACCGCGCTTTGCTGACCATCCGGCAGATGAAGTCGGTGGACTTTGCCAGTTGCGGGAAGGACGCCAGCGACGACGACGTTGTTGCGGCCTGCTGCATTTGTTTGGTGGACGACGACAGTCGTGACGTGGTAATCCCACGAGTCATCTTGCGCTGTGGCCACGAGTTCCACGAGTCGTGCATCTGCATGTGGTACTACTCGCGGTTGAACTGCCCCGTTTGTAGGCAGTAAGTACAGTAGTAGAGGGGGCTAGTTGTTGGGTCGTTGAAGCAAGAATCACATATGAATGTTATTAATGGAACGCAGATTGCGTCTTATGGTTCTGCTGTTTCTCCTGCCATTGTTTGACTACCCATGAATTGAACGAGTAATCGGTGTAGCGCTTACAGCGTACTGTACCTCCGTACGGCTTGGAGGCGCCAGCTTGATCTTGACGATTTCCACCTTGGCCACGAGGTTCCATGGGAAGCTCACATCACTCTCAATGCCACAGAACCTTCTTCACATCCTTGCCCTTCAGCGTATTGTCGCTCTGTTGAACGCCTAGAAGGTGTGATTATGGCGGATGCGTAGCGTTATGGAAACGTAATCAGCACGATTTGACAACTGGTACATCCACATCCGTGTTATTGTCGTGTAGGATGTAGGGTCGAATGCAAGTGGGCTATTTCATTGGCATGCCACGCATCAACCATTCCACTGCGGGATGATCAGTTGTCGTCCATCTGACGACAAGGGTAATAGATCATCACTAAAGAGCTACCTGAGCTGGATCTGTCTGCAGGTAGTTGTCATGGATGAGCACTACTTCACCATGGTCAGCTGTGCTATGTGCATGCGGCGCCATCGTAGGCTTAACGTCGCCTCCGCCGAAATCACCTTGACATCCATCACCAAATCATAGTTTTGCGAACGGCAGTCTCCGGATAAACACACTTATCCGGATAACCAAGTTTCCAGCGGCGCACAATTTCCAATCGCCTCACCACCACGTGAAGCAAGAAGAATGGCCATGAATATGGGCAGTCCCGCCGAATTGTCGGCGCTTGTGCAAGTGCTGCAGCACACGTTGTCGCCACATGCAGCACCGAGGCGCGCGGCGGAATTGCAGCTGAAGGAGATTACGAAGCAGCCGAACGGGCCGTTGCTATTGCTCAACGTGCTGCGGACGCCGGACGTCGAGCTCGGCGTGCGTCTGGCGGCGTCGATCGCGTTCAAGAACCTCGTCAAGAAGGAATGGGACCCCGAGAGCGAAGGATGCATTGTGCCCGAGTGCAAAGCGCTCGTGAAGACGCACATTGTGAGTCTCATGTGCGACATGCCGGACACGTTGATGAAGCAGCTCAGCGCGGCGCTGTTTACGATCGGTGAGTACGACTTTCCCGACCAGTGGCCGGAACTGCTGCCTCAGATCGTTGAGAAACTCGGGGACCCCACCAGCGACCTGCGCACCGTGAACGGGATGCTGGAAACGTCCAACGCCATCTTCAAGCGCTTCCGCCATGCTTTTAAAAGCGATGCGTTGTACAAGGAGCTGCTGTACTGCCTCATGCAATTCCAGGTACCGTCCCCGGTGTCACATATTCCCCCCTTGCATCTTCTACGGCTCAAAGTTCTCTATGAGTGCGACAATAGCATCGACTTGCCTGGTCAAAGTAATCTAGATCGGTCCTCTTGTATATACATTCTATTTCAAATGATTTTAAAATAATAGTGTATATTCGATTATATATATCTACTGTATTTGTTTTCGTACGTGTTTTGCCCCATGGAATGAAAATTGAACAATTTATTGAATATTCCATGTGTTTTTTAATTGATTTGAAATTCCATTTCAAGATCGAATTGTATTCACACGCTTTATATGTCATAGATGACCGATCAACGACAATATATATATACATATAGATGAATTCACAATCCATGATACTGTTTTGTGCCTCGTATATATATTCTACTATTTTGCCAATACACAAATACACATATATATATATAAACTCGTTCCATTCCCGATCTATATGTCATAGTATTTCCACCTCTCTCTCGCTATATATATATATATATGACGATACCTTGTGTGTGTTGTTTGGTGTAGGCGCCGCTGCTGCACCTGTTCACAGCCATGACCCACCAACTGCAGCACCCGACACCATCGACGGACCTCCGAGGCCTCGCCACTGCCCTGCGCACCATGTGCCGCATCTTTTTCTCTCTCAACTGGCAAGACCTGCCCGAGTTCTTTGAAGACCACATCGCAGCATGGATGCAAGCGTTTGAGTTTCTGCTTCGGCTCGACCTGGCCCAGCTCGTCGACGCCGACAACGACGACGAGGCCGACGTGATGACGCTGCTGCACTCGGCCGTGCTGGAAAATGTGCTCATTTACGCTGAAAAGTACGAGGAAGAGTTTGCCCCGTTCGTGTCTGGGTTCACGCACGTGATCTGGCAAAAGGTCACGACGCTGTCGCAGATGCCAAAGCACGACCACGTCGCAGCGAAATCGATGAAGTTCCTTCGGTCCATTGCAATGCAGCAGGGCACCACCGCCCTCTTCCACCAAAACGACGTGCTCTCGGAGCTGTGCAATAATATTGTCGTGCGCAATCTGCAGCTGCGCGAGTCGGACGTCGAGCTCTTTGAAGACAACCCCCTCGAGTACATCCGCAGGGATATTGAAGGCAACGACGGAGACTCGCGACGCAGCGCCGCCATCGAACTGCTCCGCGGCCTCCGCCAAAAGTACGACGATGCCGTCAGCCGCATCTGCCTCAGTACGATCACATCGCTCTTGCAAGAGTACTCGGCGTCGCCCCAGACCAAATGGATGCAAAAAGATGTGGCGGTACAGATTTATATATATATATGGTGTATCCACGGGCGTGTGTCGTTGGGTTGTTCGATTCACGATTGGATGTATGTATATATATATGGGAGAATGCATACACTATGTTTTTGATCGTATATATATATATATATAGGTATATATTAAATATGATGGAGAAGTACTGCGCAATGTTTATCATGGAGATATATTTTTTGAAGGGGTAGATAGATATATGTATATATATGGGAGAATGCATACACTATGGTTTTGATCGTATATATATATATATGTATATATATGTATATATATGTATATATTGTATATGGTGGAGAAGGACTACACTACTATGCTTATCGTGTATTTATTTGGAAGGGTATATATATGGCTCGTGAGTATTTATATATATATATATATACTCCTACTGAAGAGTACATATATGGTGAACGGGATATGTTGTTGCCTTGGACGTTTGTAGTGTGTCGGGATGATCCATGATTGAAGAATTCGATCAAAATGAACTCTCGAAAACAACCCCTCAATATATATATATATATACAACAGTCAATTTAAAACATGATATATATATATATTCTAATCTCTATCGACTAGATCAACCTCGTGACCGCGTTGGCAGCTGTCAAGCAGACGCGGGCGCGGGGCGTGTCGGAAGTCCACCCAAAGGTGCCGCTGCTCGACATCTTCAACAGCCACATCCTTCCGCAGCTGCAGCAGCGCCAGGACACTTCGCCCACGGCGCATTTGCTCACGGCTGGCGCCCTCAAATTCGTCGCGACGTTCCGCAACCAGCTGCCCGTGGCCGTGCTCTCGACGCTGTTCCCTCTGCTCGTCCACTGCCTCGACCCGCGCCAGTTTGTCGTACATACTTACGCTGCGTTTTGCATCGATCGGGTGCTCACAGTCAAAGAGTACGTTGTTACATACACTCTCTCTCTCTCTCTGGACACCTACGTTGTCACTATTTGGAGACGATGGCTACGATATATATATATATATATATATATATATGACTAGGTTGTTACTATTGGAGAGGATAGCTTTTATATTTATATATATGTATGACTAAGTTGTCTCTATTGGAGAGAATGGCTTATATAATATATATATATATAT